GTATTTTATACTGACAACATAACTTTGTTTAGAGTATTGCAAATGCTACATAGCCACATGTGACTAGTAGCTACTATATTAAACAGCAAAGTTCTAAATGATTAAAATTAGTTTTAGTGATGATTTTAGAAACACTGAGCAAACACTGGTGCCAAATGCAGCTTTGGGCATTAAAAATATATTGCTTGTTAATCACTAATATAGAAAATTTTCCACCAGATTACTGAAGTTATTAGCACTGGTTCCCAATTGTGCTTCCATCTTATTTACATGAAGTTGCCCAAAATATATGCTAGAGACAATGGAAGGAAGAAAGGAAAGAAGGAAGGAAGGCCAGCCACTTGATTTAGAATAGTTTTTAAATGTCAAAGTGGCTTTCTTACTTCAGGTGATAACTACATTAATCAATAAGCCCCTGTCGGGCTCAATAGTTCTCATTGAAAATCTTTGGTTCCTTTACTTAGGCAAAAGCCATTAAAATCCCACGGGAATTGGCTTAAAAAACTGACAGTGGAGTCTGAACAGAGCAGCAAGCATGCCGTTTTCCATGAGAGGGTGCTAAGATAGTAAGGAAAGGGCAGTTTCTGGAGATCAGATTGCTAGAGAGCTAATCAAACTTTTCATGGGTTGTGACAATGGGCAATTAATTGTGATGCCTCTCGCGCATGGGAATAGCAGGGTGTGACAAAAACAGTTTGCCTCAGACATTAGTTTCCTTTTAGATTTTAATAATAATAATAATAAATGTTTATTTCTGCAGAAAAGAGCAAAACCTTAAATATTTTGGACTATTGATCTGGGCACACATGAGCACTACTAACGGAATACTCTCCACTGGACTCATCTTAAGAAAATGCTGAGGAGTCATTTGAAATCTCCTCTTGGCTACTGTTGTCCTAACAAAGGCAGCATGCCAGGGAGAATAACATGGAGGAAAAAAATACCTTTTATTTGGTCTTTAAGAAGGGAAGGGGTGGGAAATACAATGACTAAATACAGTGTTTAGCCGCTCCAGGACTGCTTTAGCTGCCTTTCATTGTTGTTTTACATTCTAGAGAGGAGTGATTTCAATGAAATCAGATTCTAAACTATTAACTGTCTTACAAATTAAAGCCATCATATTAATTGGACTAGTTAGGAGTCCACTGCAGCCTACATAATATAGGCTGTTCCACTTGGGCTCTATAAAAGGTTATCAGCAGAACCCTAACAGAGAGGATACCACAAAACTCTTTTCTTCATTTAAAAAGGTTTTATCAGTAAAGAGATCTCACCTATTCCATGAAAATTTTCTCCATTATTCCCATTCCATTCAAATTGTCTTTTACATTTTATCACTCTTCAGTGACAATTTCATTTATGATTAATGGCTTTGTGAAGGTTACTGACTAGCCTTGATACTGCCCTAAACCACTCAAAACAACCATAAAATCAACACTATAAAAAAATCCAATGTACTGTTCTCCCATATATGTAGAAAGAAGCATGTATTTCTGATCATGCATAGCTTTAGCACATATTATGTGCCAGGCAGAGTATGAGGTACCAGAAAGCAAAAATAAAACAGGTACAGCATCAGCCCTCAGGGGCCTTGCTGTATATATGGAGACACAGGCATTGAACATAATGCCACAAAAAATACACATTACAGCTGTGAAGAATTCTACAAATCAAGTCATATCAAAGATCGTAAATGAATATTCCAGTAGATAATTGGACAAAGCAAACCAGCTTACCACAGGGAAATGCTGATTCATCAATAAACCAAATGAAAATTTAAAAATGAGATAAAATATAATTTTTTGGCCTATTAAATTGGAAATAATTAAATATTCTTGAGACCTATCTATCATGCCTTTCTGGATGCATTGTATTTTTGTACATCTCTTTGTAAGCAATTTGACAATATATATTTTTAAAAGAACCATAAACATCACAGTCTCGAATAGCTTCTGAAATTCTGTTCCAAAGAAATAAGTTCAAATATGAGGAAGAAAACACAGACATGAAACCATCCAACAATTTTATAATGGTTGGAAATGAGAAATGCTCAAATGTCAAAAATTGATAAAAGGTTGAGTAAATGTAGAAAACAGTAATTATAGGAGCATACAGCACTAGGTTCAAGCGATATTAATTCAAATCCCAGCTCTGTTTTCCAAGAGAATTCCCTTGCCTTTAAAGTGTGATAATATACCTTCAAAGAAATGTGCCAAGATTTATGAAGTGCTTATGAAAATCATGATATATTTAGAAAGTCATATTATAGAAGAGTATCCCCTCCCTCCTTCATTGCCCCCTTAACTAGAATCTGTTCTTTCAGGACAGCTCCAAATACTTGATTTCATTTATACCACAGAACATCAACAGCAGAAAAGTTAGGGACCAAAACTTTCTAGAGCCTGGTCTAGGTTCTTTATTCCTATTCTTTCTTTATTTTGTTTCCTGTAAAGAAAGTATTCCTTAAACTTGTATCAGCTTAACCTATGCAGTATTTTACATACAGAGGAAAAATCTGACTCATGATGAATACCTCCCTTACTCTTTTCCACAAAAACATAACGCATGAACCTGACATGTGGGTGAGAATTAGCTGAAATCGGAAATATTTGGGAAGTGTTTTCTTCTCTTTGCTCCCATTTGAATAGTGGTCATATATGGACAAAATTCTGGAACAGAACTTAACACTCTACAGGGTTGACTAGTCCATGCCTATACATTAGGGTGACTTGCAGAAATTTTATATGAATGCCTCCAACCCTACCCAGTCTAGAAATTTTGATTTCATTGGTCTGCAGTAGTGTCTAGGCATCACTTTTTTTTTTTTTTTTTTGAGTTTCACAAGTGATTATGACTGTAACCACATAATAAAGTTACCTTTGCTCCACAGCTCCTGAGACAGGAACAACAAAAGCTTTTTTCATTAGTGCATGTAGGAAATACTGAGTGGCTTCTTTCCTCTTTTGTTTTTAACCAGCAGAGTAAAAGACAGACAGTAATTAGTTTGTCTCTAATATTTCTGCTCATCCAGACAATCTGGAATCAGAAGATTCATGACAGACTTTTTTCCCCCTTTTGAAGTATCATGCATCATTTTTCTACTCCCTGCTCAAAGTGATAAGTTTTACAATCTATGACACACTTTTCTCCATTCTTGTCAGATACTTTAGCCTGCAACATTTTCTTTTGTTCTTCTGTCTTCATAGGTATTTTCGGCATTAGCTCATCATTTTCTAGAAGGAATTGAAAATGTTTTGAATTCTAATTCTCTCCCAGAAATGGGATGCTGCCATTAAAAGTTGCATGCCATTTCCCAGAAATTATGACAGTTTGTCCACAAGGTCTTTGCTTATTTGTACATAAAAGATACCTGATGTCTAAAATTTTCAGGCATACATTTTCAAAAATTTAGCATACTGATTAAAAAGGCCAGTTGTTCGTACCTTACTGGCTCTAGAGTATACTATGCTTCTTTGTACCAAGTAGATTTTAAAGTCTTGAGGCCTCAACACACTAAAGAGTCATCTTTATTCTCTTAGAACAGGAAAAATTTCCCCTCATTGAGAATAGTCATTCAATTAACAATTATTTAGTAAGTGTTACAATGCGATAGGTTCTATTCCAGATACTGGGGACACATCGGAAGGCAAGGCAGAAGAAGGACTTACTTTTAATAGAAATAGAACTTATACTTTAGCAAATAATTGTTTTGATTAAATTCAGAGAAGTGGGATTAAATAAAAATAATTGACTATAAGCAAGTATAAAAACAATTTCCAGTAGATGATTAGATATAAAGAGAATATGATAAAATATTTATTAAAGAATGTAGGTCCTAAATCTCGGATGTTCATTGTACAATTCTTGCAACTTTTATGAATGTTTGAAAATGTTTATAATAAAATGTTTAAAATGTTCAAAAAAGAAAAAATGTCTGTCAAAATATTAATATTTTGACTAAATTTAAAGGCAAATTTCAGCCTAAGGAAAACATGTCCAACTAATATAGCAAGGGATTTACTTTCTAAATATACAGTGTGATTACAAATCACTGAGAAAACACTGGCTTTTTATTATAAAAAGGGGACAAAGGGAAAACACAGAGACAAAGTAAATGACAAAAGAGCAAACTTAATAATAATGAAAAACACACAAATTAAAACATGAAATTTTCTTTAGGGGTTATGAAACATTAAACCTAAAAGTTTATTAATGCTTTGATATTGGATGTAATGAAATTCCTTCTTGGGTAGGAGGGAAAGTGATAGAGTTTAAATTAGCAACTTTTCAGAGAAGCAATTGTGAGATATACATCATGAGCTTTAAGAAACATTCCTCCCTTTGATCTAGTAATATCACTTCTAGAAATGATTTCTAAGAAAGTAATTAAAGATGCAATCAAGGTTTTATGTTGGGAGAGCATTTTAAAACTCCTTATAATAGTAAAACAGAAGAAAATGAAATGTCCAATTATAGAAGAGCACTTAAACAAATAATGCAACTGTTACAGTATGAAATGTTAAGTATTTATTAGCCATCATTTTTCAGAGACCATTTGAACAAATGTAGAATGCACATAACATTAGGGAAAGATCACTATATAAAATCTTGCCAGTTAAAAAAAGAGAAAAAAATGTATATTTCTAGGAAAAAGTGAAAACATGTATTTAAAAACAGCAATAGTGATTTTCATTGGATGGTTTTTAATTTTCCGTCTCTTATTTTATGCTCTATAAACATTCTCTATGGCTATGTTTTAAAAAGGTAATTTTCAGCAAAACACACACACAACTGACTCAGAAAATATTATAAAATATTCAGCCCATCTACTGACTGAATGATTACTGCAAATATGATACTTTAATAAAGGTACATGAGCATTTAAGAATGTTATTGCTCCAGGCTGGGTGCAGTGGCTCATGCCTGTAATTCCAGCACTTTGGGAGGCCAAGGTGGGTGAATCACAAGGTCAGGAGTTCAAGACCAACCTGAGCAAGCTGGTGAAAGCCTGTCTCTTTAAAAAAAAAAAAAAAAAAAAAAGAATGTTATTGCTCCATTTTTTCCTACAACTGAGGACAGTTAGAAAAAGGTGAAGAGTCCTCCATTGCAGCCACACACCAGTGTGGAAGTCACAGATCTGTAATGCAGAGTCAATCCACACAAGCCATCAGGCAGTCTTGTGAAGAGAAGTCTTCTGTTTGCTGGCACAGAGGAATCATGAGCTACACGAAGGCTCTGACAGCCAACCTCATGCACATTTCACACTTTCCCTCATTTTGCTGGAATTTTAGAGTTATGAATAAAACATTGTGGCTCACACTGTAGTCTGCTACATATATTTGCTTGCAAGTAGGTATCATGGTCCCCATTTTTTTTTAAAGAGGAAACTGAATTTCCTAGGCATTAGGTAACTTTCTCATGCCTACCAGTTTATAAATGTCAAAAGTTAGGACAAATTTTGGCAGCTACAAATTTTGTTACTTTTATACTGTTGTAGTTTATCTACAAGGCTATTAACTCAATCAGGGGAAAATAATTTAGAAAACAAATGCATTATTCTTTGGTTTACATTTCTCAAACTACAAATGCTTTAAATTATGAAACTGATTATAATTAAGGCAAAATGTTGAGAAAATAATTATATTACATTATTCTGTAAAATGTGCTTTTACCCATTTGGAAAAACATTGCTAATAGCTGAGAGAAAGTTTCATCATCCTGCCTAATGGTTAGAATGATCTAGTGAGCCAGCATGGGTGGAAAAGGCTCTTATTAAAAAAAAAAAAAAAAAAAAAAAGGCAGATTCCCATGTTACTGCTCTAGGGATTCTCCTTCAGAAGCTCTGACAGAGATCTGGAATGTGTAGTTTTCACAAATGCCTCAAATGATTCTTATGCTTGGACTGCTTAGGGAAAATATGTTTCTAGGTCAATTGATTTCAATCTGCAGGGATATGTGTCTCCTAGCTTAAAAATGAATGTCTTGTTCAGCAAGTCTAGGGTGTGGCCCAGAAATGAGCATACTGCATGCACACTTCAGATAAGTCCTATAAGGCTGGTCCACAGATTATTGCTTTTTAAGAAACCTGTTCTATGGTGGGGTGCCGTGGCTCAGGCCTGTAATCCCAGCACTTTAGGAGGCCAAGGCAGGAGGATCATTGGAAGTCAAGAGTTCAAGACCAGACTGGCCAAAATGGGTGAAACCCCATCTCTACTAAAAATACAAAAGAATTAGCTGGCTGTGGTGGTGCATGCCTGTAATATCAGCTACTCAGGAAGGTGAGGTATGAGAATTGCTTAAACCCAGGAGACAGAGGTTGCAGTGAGCCAGGATTGCACCATTGTACTCCAACCTGGGCAATAGAGTGAGACTCTGTCTCAAAAAAAAAACTGCTTTATTATAATTTTTATGAAGTATTTGCTATATATGGTATTGAGGGGAATATAAAACTATAAATGCATCCTTCATGGCTGAAGGGATGTAGGGGAGAGGAAACAAAACAACAACGATGCCATTTATAAAAATGAAAACAAAAATTGGTAGAAATGGAATTCACAAAGCAGAGGCGTGAATAGCTAAATAATAGCCCCAAAAAGGGCATGAACCTTAACTTGGTTAATGAAGAAGGTCTATGGTTGATGGGGAAATGAGAGACTTCCAATTTGAGGGGAACAGGAAGAGGAACCAAAATAGGAAAAAGCAAGGAAATAGAATGGGATGGAAAATAAAAGCTTTATTTGGGGTGAAAGCATGGACCCTCAAGACGACATGGCCCCGCCTTAAAGGGCTGGCCAGGGAGAAGTCACTGATAGGACATAATGAATGGTGCTCACCTGTGATAGATAGCAGTGTACACATTGACCTTTCAAAGGTTTAATGATCTTTTATAATAAGTTAGAGTTGATGTATATGAGATAGACAGATTGTTGAGTATTTATTCACCCCAGCTTTTAGTAGCCTTGGTTGATTGATTATAGTTTTGCCTCCTTCCCAAATTGCTCCCTTCAACATGATGTGCCTAAGCCTCCATTAAAAAAAGAGGAAGCTTCATTCAGTTTGCAAATTTTTTAGAGTACGGATTAAAAGTCAGATTTCAGAGCCAGACCTACATATTTTTCAGAAATACAAATTTAAGATAATTTAAGTTATGTAAGACACATCTTATGTACCTTAAAGTTGAACATTAGGGCTATGTGTCAAAATCAAATTTCTCCCCCATCTGCACATCCATTTACACAGGCAAGCAAATAGAAATCCATGGGCAACATTCTAAATCAGTCCTTCTGGTCTACTATGTGAGAAATGTTTATATTAATCTTCTTAGGTCCTTATGATATCTTTCTGCTTCTGATTATTGCAGGATATTTTGATCTGAGAGAAACTCTTTAAGCCTATATGTGTTTGGAGTTTTGTGTAGATTTTTTCCTGTTTTTTTTTTTTTTTCTCTCTCTCAACTTATTTGCTAAACACTTTTAAGGCCATAACCATGAAAGAATATTTACCAGACTGGACCAGTGGTCATTTAACTCTCCAATGATGGCCAGTGTTCCTATTTATGAAGGATATTATGGTTTTATCCTGACCTATGCTTAGAGGCTGAAAAAATGATTATCTTTATAATGTTCACTGTGTATAATGGCCTTGCTCATATAACCAGATACAGATAATTAGCCATGACTATATTAATTAATCTTTCAAAGAGGTAAGAATTATAGTATGCACATTTGTGGAATTAGAAAGATGCATGTTGATTTTAGCTGAATGGGTCAAATAAGTATGCGTGAAGAAAAGGAACAGTTGAGAGCAAAATGTACTGCATACACTAAGGAATCACTTCTCATTTGGTAAGCCAAACTCAGACACGTGTGTGTGTGTGTATGACTTTAGATAACTGAAGACTTAGCTATAAGAGTTATCTGGAGATTCATCATTCTCTGCTATCATATTGTGATATCTTGCTGAATAATAAATGTAAATGCAGTAGAATTTGTTAGAAATGTATTTAACATAAATATAATACAACAGCTAAATAATAAGAGCCTCATAAATATTACTTGGGTACTAAGAAAAGTGAATCCTGGGGTGAAAGGAGATGAAGATTTGCTGGGCTAAATTTTTACCTTTATAATTTCAACCTGTAGACAGTTTCCATCAGCACTCACATCTCTAATTCAAATGTTCTGGGAGATCGCAAGTATAAATCTCTGCCACAACAAGCAGGAGGGAGGACAAGAGGTCTGCATAACATTCCATTTGGGAAGATAGATGGCTTCAGATTGGAATTGGAATACTCAAGCAGCCTAAATCAAAACACACGTTGTCTTTTGAGTCATAATCAGATAAATGGTAGGCGATGACCACAGGGAGGAAAAAGAAAAGTTGTTCAGAAAATAATGTTTATGAATTTAAAATTTTCAGAAAAGATAATGTGAAATATCTATTAAAATCTGTCCCTTACTAATTTACCGTAAGACATTACTGTCCAGCAGTCAAACCAACATATGTAAAAATGTTAGGACCTGAAATGCTTTTGTGACTTGTGAAGATGCCATTTGTTGTTCAAACGTGCACTGAAAAAATACTTAAAATAACTAAGCCTCATTCTAGTATAAGACCTACGACATGTTCATAATAAGCTCTACAGGCCCTGTGGGGCTTTTAGGCAATACAAACACAACTGTTTGAAATGCTTTTTTCTGAACCACTGTTTTTGTGTTCATTTACCCAGTACAGATGTTATGGCTCATTAAGAACCAAATGGTTTGTGTAGGTGGCCATGTTTTCATGGTCAAAACAGCTCATGCAGAGATATAAGTATCCATTTCACTGGTGTTCTCATCCTTGGAATGATAATAGATAGGAATGTATGTAGTTTAACTCATTACCTACTAAAGAACGAAAATATGTATATAAGTAAGGGATATGAAGAAAAGACATAGACTCTGATCTCATTTTAAATGAAGAAACAAGTAGAATTTGACTTTGAATTGTATAATTAGAGGAGAAATTTTCTCCAGAAAAATGGTAACCTTAATCCTTAAAACCAGACCATGCCGTTATTGAGGTAGTTCCAATGCCCTTTCTCAAGTCAGCCTGATAGATATGGCCGAGTTAGCAATTGCCCTAAATCAAGCATCTGGGTCTTCTAACTGGAGGCAATGGTAAAAATTGAGAACCTTTTTATGTGATTCGTGGATTAATGAGAGTTGCAATCTCTATTGCAATCTGAGACCCTTCAACAACTTGGAAGAATGAACCCTGAAAGAAAGCAAAAATGATAGGAAAAGGCGGGGACCATTTTGTGGATAGCTAGACTCTTCTGGGTAAATCTTAGGATAGATCAAATGCAAGTGTTAATAGGAAAGATATACATTTTTCCTATGGCACAAAATATGCATGATGATTTAATGGATCATCAAAATAACACGGGGACACATAAACAATGCACTTGCTTGCCATGGTGATCCTATTTATATTGATTGGGATGTCTAAAATGAAATTTTCTACAGGTGCCCCTTGCATGTATTGTTTTTTGTCATTGTTGTTTGTTTAACTAGCATTAACTGGCTGCCTCCACAAACGTGCATAGCAACTTTACTCTTCACATCCAAGTGATATTAGCTCCTAGGGGTCAGGCATGGTGGCCCACACCTGTAATCCCAACACTTTGAGAGGCCGAGGCTGAGGTGGGAGGATCGCTTGAGGCCAGGAGTTTGAGGCCAGCATAAACAATCTAGGAATACCCCATCTTAAAAAAAAAAACTGGTGCAGTGGCATGAGCCTGTAGTCCTAGTTACTCAGGAGGCTGAGGCAGGGAGGATCACTTGGGCCCAGAAGTTCTAGGTTCCAATGAACTATAATCATGCCAACAAACTCTAGCCTTGGTGATAGAGCAATACCCTGTCTCAAATAAATTAATTAATCAATCAATTAATTAATCAATCAATCAATTAATTAATTAATTATAAAAAGGGGAAAAAAGAGTCGACATGCAACATGAATACTTTCAGGGGTGAGCATGGGATGGTTTGGTCATTTTCTGTCAGCTGCTTCACTGGCAGATTCCCTTTTTCGCTTTGGTTTAGGATTTTCTCAAAAACAATGATTGAAAACGAAAGCACATGAAATGCAAAGAATAGTGCTTTGAGACTTGGTAAGACTTCCTTTTGCATAGACCAGTGGCTAGGAAAAAGATGTTGGAGGTTTTAAACTCGACTATATTCTATACCTCCTCTCCCCTTTCTTACTAGCAATTTGTATCCCACATCTCTTCCTAAGTGCATCTTCTCTTAATGATATTCACCAGTTTTACTCTTCTAGGTTAGAATAGTTCAGTGTATTCATTCTGTAGTTTTGGAACTTGAATACATTTTTCTGCCCTTAACTCATTCTTGAAAATATGGTTTATTTTTAAAAATTCTTTTAAGGCAACCAGTATTTTACACTTAAGTAGTGCTCTTTAGTCATTACTTAATGTATGTGATTTTAATATGCCTGTTTGAGACAGAGAGAGATTAGCATGGTAGGCCCACAACTTTTTCAAGCTTGCTTCCATAAACCAACAGGAAAGGTAAAGTAAGACAGGTCTATGCTAAGAGCGCATAGTAATATAGAGGAAGATATTTCTCCAGCAGCAAATCCAAGGTTTAGGTGCTTGACTCTATCAAAATCTGTTGTTATTTGTTCCTTTAGGAATTTATCCCACTGATCCATTTATGATCAATTAGTCACTGACCCTCACATCATTCTTGTAACATGTCAGCTATTTATGGTGCCGAGATTCCTAGAATGTGTCATGTTCTTTTTAGTAGAGCCTTCACACAGGACTGTTTTTCTGTCTGAAATGCTATTCCCAGCTTCTCTTCATGGGATTGAAACTGAATTTGTGAAAATAATAGAAGTGAGAGAAATCAAACACAACAGACTCCATATTGCTTCCACCCTCACAGGCTGGCTGGCTTTCCTCCTTCCTAGGCATAAGCTAAGCTAACCATGGGAGGAATTTCGTTTACAGTGTTACTTGAAAGCAAGGATAATAATAATTCCTTCCTAAAATGAAAACCCTCCTTGCTCAGGGACTGAAAACTAATGAAAGGCCATGAGATTAGAATAACTGGAAAGACCAGAATTCTGCCGAGATATAGACATGATACTGCTTTGAAGTCAAGTGGCCAAAGGTCACAGATTTATGACTTCCCCCGCTGCTCCCACAGGTAACATCACTATTGTGGAACCTAAGATTGGCCTTTTGAGATTTTTTTTTAGGCTTTTGCATTCTGGCAACCACTGATGCCAGCAGGACACCTGACTCATGAACCAACTGGCTCTGTGGCCCCTCATCCAGAGGCAGACTCAGTGTACCAGGGCCATTTACCACACACCTGTGATTGCATCCCCCACCAGTCAGCAGCACCCATTCCCTGGCCCCCTGCTCATCAAACTATCCTCGAGAAACCCTAAGTTCTCAGCCACTGGGGAGACTGATTTGAGTGATAACTCCAGTTCTTGTACATGGCAAGCCTCACTTTAATGAAATTCTTTCTTTACTATAGTACCACAGTCTCAGTGAACTGATTTTGTCTCTGCAGTGGTCAGATGATGACAGGATCTTTTATAATATTCAAATTCCCACTTAATGATTGTCTCCTCCATCCAGGTCTCCCTTTACTATCTGAGCCAATTAATGTTGCTCCCCATCTGGGCCAGTTAGTGTCTCTCCCCTTATTCTCTATACTAGCATCCTCTTGTTAACTTCATGGCACTCAGATACATTTGCTATTATGCATTTGTAAATTTGTTTTGGATTTTTCATTTGTATGTCCCTCCCCTCCCTACTCCTTGCCTGGAGCATAGTTAGCTGCTTGAAATACTTTGTTTTGTAAACAAATGTACAAAGAAGCTAATTCCTTAACATGCATCACTCTTTCACGAATAACTTTAATTCTGTAGCAGGTAGCCTCAAAAGAATAAAATTAAAATTTTATGCATTGAAAATAGAAATTATTTACTCTTTAGGCATTTGTATGTTATAGTAAAAGTAATAATGAGGATGAAGACTCATACTTAGAAGTGTTTACTGTTTGTCAGAATGTGCTACATAGTTTATTTTATTGAATTCTCATTAACAACAAAATGAAGAATAAAGCAGAAGTGAAGCTTTTGAAGCTTAAGCTGCCAAGTCCTTGCTTGCTCTGCCTTCTTCTAAACCCCAGGAAGGGAGGTTTCTGAGCTGTTTCTGAGCTGTATGCCTATGGCCATTTTGCATGTATGCTTTTATTTTTATTTTTATTTTTTAATAAAGAGACACCTTTCCCCAGTTACATAATCTTCAGACACTATAAAACACGAATTCATTCCTGGAAATACACTTAGAATCCCTGTTTTGTAGATAAAGAAACTGAATCATTGAATTCAAGTTAACAAGAACTAGGAGCAGATAAATAAATGCTCTGGACCCTGATCATATACTCTAGAAATTACGATTTTAGCCGTTATATTGCATGGAAGTATAAACCAAATATAAAATTCTAAGACCCCAACCAACTGAAAGGACCCCCTTAAGCCAAGAGGATCCCAAAGAAACCTGAAAAACTGGTTCAGGCCATGATGGGAAAGGGGACGATGAACAAGCCTCACTAGATTCTCCTCCTTTTGGAGTTTGGCCACAAATGACCATCGTTAACATTAAAATAGAGATCATAAGAGACAAAACAGATTATTTGTAGCAGTAAGATACTCAACTCCAACCTAACTCTGGTATAACATCACATGACGGAAAGCAGGCCCTGAAGGAAATCGAAGTATTTTACCTCAAAATATATTTTCTTTGACATATTTTGAAATGGCCCTGCAAAGCCATCTCCTTGGGAAACATGTAGTCTCCTCTCCTTAGTAGGTCTTTTCCAGAGGGACTGACATCTTTTAAGATCAGATAAGAGACATTTACCATCTATTATCTCTGAAGCCTGTGATTTAGAGGCTTAGTCTATATAACAAGAAGCTTGGCTTTCACAATCCCCATTATTTTAACTCAAGCATTTCTTTATGCTGACTTCAACTCTTTTGGCAAAGCTCAATTCTTTCAACCAATTGCCAATCAGGAAATCTTTGAAGCCACCTATGACCTGGAAGCCCCTTCCCCCATCCCCAGCTTCAAGGTGTTCTGCCATTCTGGACTGAACCAATATATACATATATATATTGACTTATGTCTTTGCCTGTAACTTCTGTCTCTTTAAAATATATAAAACCAAGCTGTAACCCAATCACCTGCACACATGTTCTCAGCACCTCCCTAGGCTGTGTTATGAGCCATGATCATTCATATATGAGGCTGAGAATAAACTTGTTTAAATGCTTTATAGAGTTTGGCATTTTTTGTCAACAGTAGATGGCAAATAGATGCATTTTAGTAAAATATAAGGACAATAAAGACATGGCTAATATTTCTACTGATAAGACTCTTCCTTTAAAAAGAGCTTAGTAATATGGCAGAACGAACTTTAAACTGTTAGAATCAAGAATTGATGTCCACATATTATATTTGCCCAATACTGGCCTCTGTTTCCTGGGACCCCCTAGCTCGGAACTTTGACTCACATTGCTACAGCTTGGCTTTCTTTCATTTAACAGCAAGTCAGCTTCTTGGTTATTTTCCTAAGCTACAAAAGAGGGCAGATAGCTCTGCTTCCTACTGCCTTAAGTCTTCAACTCCTTCAAATTCCTAAACATCTAGGTGATGGCATCCTAGGCAAATGTTGTGTTGTACAACAGCCGTTGTGAGTTCACTGTTGGTTTGCATGATAGAGAGAAACAAACAGAAATCCCACAGAAACAAACAAACAATGCATCGTATGACAAGCTGCCCTCCAAAATGATTTCCCTTTTCTCCAGCAGTAAGATGGGGATAATACCCATACACATCTACCACACTGGATATTTTCAGATAAAAGACACCATAAATATAAAGGGATTTTGGAATTAGAAGAGATATATAAACACAAAAATCATTGTACCCCCAACAAGTGATTGGATGTGCATTAGAAATATCTGCATCTTTATCAAGATACTAGATATTGGCTACAGTAAATGAGCTTGGTTGGACCAGCTGAACTTCTAAAAGGTGATAGTGAGAGTGAAAAATCAGGGTTTTGGTATACTCAGTTTAGATTAATAGATACTTATTATATTTATCTCATAAAATTAATGTATTCAAATTAAATAGGTAACCCTAGCAAACTTACTTAAAATACTGATGCAGGCCAAAAAAGATAGGCAAGAATCTGTGTATAGTTTGCTCACTGTTCATCCTCACTTCTGGAAAGGAGATCCAGAGGCTCATTCATTAATTTTTCCATTCATCCAACAACTATATTTCAGGAGCTAGTGCTATGTGACAGACTTTCTGCCTTGTCCCAGAGACAGAGTAGTGAGCAAAAAGAGCCGCATTCCTTCCATCATGAAAAGTGTAGTTCAAGAGGAAAGCAGACATTAATTAAATAATCATACTAATGAATTAATTATTTCAAATGGAGTTAAGTGCTTTCAAAAAGAGGGAAATGTGGTACTGTAAGAATTGATAGCACAGTACATAATGTAGAGGTTGGGAAAGATTTCCCTAAGGAAATGAATGATCAATTCGAATGCTAATGAACAAGACTTGGCTAGGGGAAGGAGGTGTGGAGGGAGCATTCTAAGCAGGGAAACAACATGGACAACGTGGGACATTACTGTCGTACAAAGATGCCTGGCATTCTTGACATCCTGAGAACTAGAGGGTGTATGGGTTAAGATAAGAATGAAGAGAGAGGCAGAGATGACAGACAGTAAAATACCTCCAAGGCTCTGCCAAAGATTTCAGTCTTTATCATAAGAGAAATGGAAAGGCATTGAATGGTTTAAGGGTTTGGTGATGGTAGGATGAAGGAGTAATCACTTGGTTTGTGATTTAAAATATCTTCTGATTTAGTGGACAAAATGAATTAGATTGAGCCCAGTAAACAAAAGGAGACCAAAAATAAGACTGTTTTAGGCAAGAGGTGACAGTAGCTTAGACTAAGGTATTGGCAGGTCATACAGAGAGAATTTGTCAGACTTCAGGGTTACCTGTGATTTGGTGCTGCGTGGAGGGTGTAGATTTCAGGAGAAGGATTAGGGAAGTTCCCAGACCTCAAACACCTGAAGTCCACCGAGGTACTCATATGATACTATTCTACAAAGAGTGAACATTTACT